TTATTTGAATACACTATTGTTTACAGACGAGAGTAGCATGTGACAACATCCGGAATGACCGGAAACCAAACCAGCCGTGAAGCATTTTCTGTATGTTTTAGAGTATTGATTACAGCGTTTAGAATGTGTTACATGAAAAGTGATGAAAGAGAATATGAGGAGAAAAGGCGTGTTAAGCATATGTTGAAGATGAAAAGTACCAATCCTCTGTTTAAATGCAACAACGGACATTAGAGGCGAGGCGAGCCGGCTGGCGGGGAGGAGCCAGCAGAGGATATATAACGGCACCGAACGGGGGATTCGCCCTTCTCTTCTTGCTCAGGAGAGCCAGATCACAGCTGTTTTCTGCCGGAACAATATTCTGTCTGTAACACTACCGCGCCTTTTTTAATTAAAGTATCCCATTTGAATCTTTTCAGAGACTCCATTTAGTCTCATTTTAAAGCTTCTCTCCTGGACGCGAGAATAAAGAACATATTTTACAGTAGTCATGATGGTAAGTATTTAGTGAAACATTTGAAGAGTAGCCTATCGCCCCCTCCACCAGGTGCTAAGGGGGCGGGAGGTAGGCTAACGGCACATTAGCATATTTTCTACTTAATGCTATCTGCACAAATGGTTAACATTGAACATTAAAAGATCAGGCAGTTCAGGGAGAGTCGAAGGAAGGCAGGCAGGCAGGCAGCTTTGCATGACATTCTTCTGGACGTGTTTCATTGTGGTGATTGTGAGAGTAAGTCAATCTGTTTGTTGGAAAGACAGTAGTTGAGTGATTACTGAGAGAAAATTATTAAAATAGATAATTATTCAGTGTTGTTACTTTAAAGTGTTGTTACTGACCTTTTTCTCTTTTATTTTCTTTACCTCACCTGTAACTGCTGAGACCCTGAGGAACATGCACACTGGACTGACCTGCTCTGGCAACCTGATTTCCACTGTACGTAATAGTATTTGGTTATGGTATATTATTTATATACATCAAAGGCACAATGCACCCCCCAGAGACACACATGTATTGAGTGTGATATTTTGCATTGGTCATGTGAAATCATCTTTACATACTAGAAAACTGTAGGAGCGGCAACTTGTTTTGAAAATTGAATTTTTAATATCCGGTAATAACGTTGATCTGTTTTCTTCATTCTTCTCTCTTCCCAGCTCCATCCATCACCATTCTCTGTTCCTGCAGGTCCTGCTTGCTAATCAATATTCATATTTTTTTACACAATTACAAATAAAGTCAATGTATTGTATGACATGAAGTTGTGCTTCATTCTGAGTCAATAATAAATTCATTCTGCCTTCAACTGCAAAATTATTGTGGACTGCACCGACATCCATGTAGCTGCCCCCCAGTAAGATGAACCAAGCAAAGCTGACACTCAACATACAGCTGTGCTCTTAAGTTTACATGAAGAATTTGTGAAATATTGGTAATAACAGGTTTAAATGATTATTAGTAATTAATTATATAATTGTCTCATTGTAGACGAGCAGACAGGGAGCCAGATGAGAAAAGCAGAATATGCAGCTGCCATTTTCCACATGGAAAAGAGAAAGGGCCAAGTGTATTTGAGTGGACAAAAGAGAAATCCCAAATACGAAAAATAAAATTATACAATTTACAGATATGTATACAAATATATATATCCTATATACACCATGTATAATGATGGTGTATGATGTAGAAGGAAGTGTGGTAGATAACAAGTAAATATAGAGTTACATACAGATCCATGTGACAGCAAAAGATGGAATAACTAAGAAGCACGCAGTATAATAATAATTACACGCAACAATTAAATAACTGCTCAGCATCTCCACCACAATCCCAATCTGCTGTGTCCTCTTTTCCTCCCCTCTGCATAACACCCCATCACACATACGAAACACAACGCAGAGTCCGAGGGTGTTAAGAGTATGTTTATTTAAATGTCCTCCTCTCTACTGGCCAACACAGGGAGCATATGCTTGGTGTAGAATTGTTCCAGGAGGAGGAGATTTCCATGCCATGCAGGGTCTTTGGGGATGGGGATAATGATCGCTTCCTTCATGGTCCACAGTAGCAGAGACTCCGGTCTGTGATGTGCAGCTGTTATATATACACAATACATTTTTGAAAAACATTTGATCAACAAAAAAGGATTTGGTCAGGATCTAGAGTCAGTGTGTAGTTTATTAATTAATCAATGCTCTCTACATTAGGAAATGGCATACCAGTGTACCAGAGGGAGTCACACACAGCTGTGCCTAGATAACCAAACAAATTGACAACAGGGATGCAAACTCATCAGGTATGAAAAAGGTGACAAGGATCCGAGCCCCCTGACCCCACAGAATATCGACTTTAAAATTAGGAATAACAGAGGATTTTAGCAGTCAGAACAACTAAAGCAGCAGTGTTAATAATAACAGAAACGCCATAGAGTCACATCTAATAGAAATATATAAAAAGCATTTATTTTAATTGTGTAGCAGTCAGTTTAAAATTTTGGCAGCACTGTTGAGCATTTTGAAAATGTATTTTCATGCCTCTGTGCAAGGCTTAGTCTTTCTATCTTTATAGCCACTGGTGTAAAGTAACTAAGTTCATAAACTCAACAAGTACTATAATTGGGCACAATTTTGAGATACTTGTACTTTACTTAAGTATTTCAATGTTTTGCTACTTTGTACTTCTACTCCACTACAGTTCAGAGGTACATGCTGTAGTTTTACTCCACTACATGTATTTAATCCCTTTAGTTACTTTACAGATGTGGATGAATGATGTGAAATATAATCTCGTTAAATCAGACTTTAGTTCCACCAGGAGCAAATCCACAAGCTACCCTGCAGTATACAAAGTCATTCAAACTAGCTGCACCTTTACCAGCTTTGAGAACACTTTCATGATCAATCATTATAAAACATATCATATCTATTATTCTGAAATGGACCAATCTGCACAATGACTACTTTTACTGTCGCTACTTTCACTATATTTTGATGAGAATACTTTTCTACTTTCACTTAAGGAACATTTTGAATGCAGGACTTTTACTGTAACAGAGTATTCCTACACTCTGGTACTTCTACTTTTACTCAAGTACAAGATCTGAGTACTTCTACTTTTACTCAAGTACCAGATCTGAGTACTTCTACTTTTACTCAAGTACAAGAACTGAGTACTTCTACTTTTATTCAAGTACAAGATCTGAGTACTTCCACTTTAATGCATCAATAATTATTAAACATATCATATATATTATTCTGAAATTATTCTGCCCAATGACTACTTTTACTTTTGGTACTTTATATTTTGATGATAATACTTTTCTACTTTTACCTGAGTAACATTTTGAATGCAGGACTTTTACTGTAACAGAGTATTCCTACACTCTGGTACTTCTACTTTTACTCAAGTACAAGATCTGACTTCTACTTTTACTCAAGTACAATATCCGAGAACTTCTACTTTTACTCAAGGACAAGGTCTGAGTACTTCTACTTTTACTGAAGTATAAGATCTGAGTACTTCTTCTTTTACTCAAGTACAAGATCTGAGTACTTTTTACACCTCTGAAGAATACACATGCCTGCTTTTAGAGTTGCAGCTTTTCTAAGCAGAGTTAAGCCTTCTCCTTCTCAGCAGAATAAACATGTTGACCCTCCCCATGGCTCTCACCTGCAGGGCCATACAGCGGGCATCGCTGCTCTGTAACGCGGCTCTCATGTCCTCGATCAGCTCCCTCAAACTCGCATTCTCATCCTCCAGCTTCACTACTCGGTCTTCTGCTTCCTCCAGAGCCACAATCTCCTCATAGCACTCTTTGGTGCAGGATCCCAGCCTGCAGCCGGAGGCGTGCCGACCCTCCGAGGCTTCACCCAGCACGGCAGACAGCAGCTTCTCCCGCCGCCTCAGAGGGCTCCTCAGGCGGATCTGAGTCTCGATGTGCTCGCTGTCCTTCCCCACCAACAACCGGCCGTTTTCATACTGACACCCCGCCTTAGTGCTGAAGTATCCGCACAATTTAGCGTGGAAGTGTCTGAAAGTGAGCTCGCTGGGTAAACTCTCCAAACTGCATTCAGTATCCACCTCTTTGTTCAGCCCCAAAACTTCACACAAGATGTTAAAATCCTCCACGGAGACTTTTCCTGCGCCCTGGTAGTCCATGTGATGGAAAATCTCCTGCAGGTATTGATCCAAGCCGGTGGCCAGAACTATGATCTCGTTCTCCACCCCCCGGTCCAGTCCGTAGTGGTAAGCCAGGGTGCTCACTATCCATTGCGTCCGGCGCGCGGGGCGGCTGTATGGATCAATGGCATCCATCATTTGTGCGTAAAAACATCATATTCCCTCAAACTTAACACACTTACTTTGTTTCCTCCAGCATTGCCCTGTGTGAGCTCTTGTTCCTCCAGAAGCTGTGCGCACACTGGAACTGAAATGAGACAGACGGAGCACATTTGAATTTAGCCATGCCCCCAAAACCCCAAAACCAGGGGTTCCAACCAGTAAAACACACACAGCTTCACTATAACTCTCTTACTGCCGTTTGCCGCAGTGTAATTGCCACCAGGTGTGTAAACTTGTGTCATTCACTCGGTTAGACCTTGTTAAGATGTAAGATGCCCCAGAGACTAATATGCAGTGTTTCTCAAACTGCCTGCTCTTTACTCGAGAGCTCATAGGGCTTTGTGCACAATTTGCACCTTGCTGCATCCCTGATTGTAAGATTACAAAAAAGGTATATGAAAATGTTTTTTATTATTTCTAAAACATAAGATTACTAGCAGTTACACTACATTTTAAAATAATAATGCCTTTTGGTTTTATTTAGACATACTTTCAGGAGATTTAAACAAACTATAATGGTTTTAAGGGTAGGCTACATTGTTGTCCTACATAATACATTTTGGTAAAAAAAACATTTTATGGATTTTAATTTTCTCTTGTTTTTAATTGCTTTCCATTTGATATTGAAGTAACCCAAAAGCACTATAAGTATTACAAATGTTTTATATATTTTGATACTTAGATTAGTTTACTGTTAACATTTTACAGGTAAGTTATTTTTACGGAACACATGTTTAAAGTTACCCTTCAATTTGAGCATGTTTACTGCTGCACTCAAGTCCCCCTCGTAAAAGTTATCAACCAAATGTGTCTGCTTTAATTGTTCATTTGATGCTGTTTTTTTCAACAACTCTCAATTTGGTTTTACAATATTTCTTATATGACGTTAAATTCTAACACATCTTGAATTACCCTGCACAAGAACAATTGTTTTTCTGTCTTGATTTGTAGCGTAATTGCAATAGTTCCGACAGTTTGTGAGGCCAGTAAACGCCTCAAGTCCGTCCCTACAGCGGTTGTTGTCATGGCGACGCGTTGCACTCAAGAGATCTATTTGTGTGACAGGTCGAAACTTTACTTTACTCTCAAATAACTTTTATTGTATTAAGTTTAACTCGATAGCAGCGATGGAAACAAAAAGACAAGGTAAAGTAGAGACAAGAACAGCAGTTGTAAAAACTAGAAAAAAAATCACTACAACAATTACAAACTACTATATTTCACGTCTTCAAGAAAAGGAAACGTCTGCTCAATCCGGAACCACCGGAGGTGAGACTCAAGAGAAACAACTGTAAATGTGCTGCTTTAACATTATCAATAATTACCATCAGTGGTGTAAAGTAACTTAGTACAATGTCGAGGTGCTTCTACTTTACCCTAGTATTTTCATTTTACTCTACTTTATAATTCACTACATTTTGAAAGCCAATTTTCTACTTTTTCATCCACTACATTTAATTTAGAGATTTAGTTACTATAGGTCATTCGGATTTTTACACACAATACTTAAAAGATTAAAATCATCCAACATTATATGTAAGTAACTAAAACCAGGAGTGGGTTAAGAGAAAATTAATTGGACTTCAGATCACAGTTTTCAGCTTTAAAATGTTTTACAAATATTGTTTGAGATTTCTCTGCAATGACTACATTTTCCTAATCATACACAAATACTTTTATTTGAGAAGTCTACCTTTCTTGATGCTGTACTTTTACTTGTGTGATTACTTTTTCCAGAGTAAAGAACTCGTTATTTTAATTAATGGCTCTTAATACTGAAAAACATTGTTTTCAGAGAAACTTAATTTATTAAAATATTCTCATTTTAGTACAATTCCAAAATCTGCTTACTTGTTTTATTGACAACAAATAATTGCAAGGCACGTCAACGTAGCAGCAATTCATTAAAATAAATATAATAATATATATAATAATCTGAATCACTTATTGTTTTCCAGTTTGTAATTTTCCTCATTGATAATGATGTAATGTGGTTATTAAAATTAAAATAAATTGTGAGAATTATTCACCATTTTGCCATGTCCAACACTACAGAGACGGCTCAGTCAGTCTGTGAGGATGGAGACGTTACAGATGAAGGACAGGAACACCGTCTCCTCCTTGAGACTGACAAGTTGTCCATGGAGCACGGTTTGGAAAACTTGTCCGGGTCAACTGAAGACATCACAACATGCAAAGATGGAAACTCGAATTACATCACATGGACAGTCGATATTGTCCTTGCTGTCCCCAAAGGTACGTTTATCATTAACTTCATTAGCTTCAACAGACATGGGGAGTAACAGATTACATAAAGGGGTTATTTAATCAGGATACTAAAAGGTAACTGTATTCCCTTAGAGTTACATTGAAACACTTAGTAATCAGACTACTTGTACATGTGTTATCTGAAAGGGGATTAATAGCAGGGATTTATGTTACAACATATTTTTAAATAAAGATCCATATGTTTTGGGTAGATGTGCTGCCTGAATTCTTGGTTTTTGGTTTCATTGAGACTCACAGAGACATTGAAAAGTAGTAGGTTAAGTGTGCTGAAATCACTACTTTGATTAAGGAAACAGTTTACAGATTTATTTAACATTTTTATTGACATTTGTTCCCTTTTCAGAGGAAGATGTTGACGTCCCTGAAGCTCTTGAAAAAACGAAGAAGAAAACCAAAGATTCCTCCACTGTTTCAGTGAAAGGCTTTAAAGCCCAGAGCTGCTATCATGTTGAATACAAGCTGTTGCCGGGCGACACAGAGACAGTCAAAGTGGACCTGGTCGTGTTTGGACAAGTGGCAAAAATGTACAAAGAAGACGAGTTCAAGGTAAACATGATGTTGTTTTTTGAACGTACGTACGTACATACATACATACACACACACACACACACACACACACACACACACACACACACACACACACACACACACACACACACACACACACACACACACACACAGTACATATACGCATACTGTACATACAATAAATGCAATTTCAAATATATAAAAAAGCCATGAAGTGCGATTTGGTTAATGTGATGTTAATGTTTTATGGTAGAAAACATTTCACAAAAATTCTAACTTTAACCCAAACCCAAACCCAAACCCATTACTCTAACCCAGATCCTGAGAACATGGCATGAAGGAGATCAGCTCTGGGTTGGTTGGACCCAGAACTTTGAGGTCAGAGTGGACAGGGAGACGCTGATCAGTCTGCTTCCTCATAAGATCCAGCTCCAGGTCTGGAACAGTAAGGACAAACTGTGCAGCCTGGCCCGCTATGAGAGGCTGAAGGCGTTCAGGTGGACCCAGGACCAGCCTGACGATGCACCAGAGATGTGTGGTGGTGAGCATCAGATGTCCCCATATGGTATGAATGTATACCTTTGTATTTTATACACTTTGTTATGAAAAATATATCTTTATCCTCAGGTGGTATCAAGGCGTTGGTTAACAAACTGAGATCCTCATGTGAGAGGAACACGTGTAAAAAGCACAGAGGAGAGAAACTGTTGAATTCAGAGGTTGGAACAGAAACAGGTATATCTTCAACTTTCTCCTTGTTAGTTATGGAATCATATAATGATAAACAATGATGCTGCTCTTGTTTGAGTGTACACACTGGTGTTAAATGAATCACATGTTTACTTGTGTGTAAGCCTTGTTGAATAATAACCCTGATAAAAGACACTGACTTCGGACCTCTCACCAAAACAGATTTTCAAAAACCCACCGTTGATGCATTTGATCTTGACGAGATGAAGAAGAACGGCACTGCCTTGATGGAAATCAGACTTGTTTGTTTGTTAGCAGGTGAGTGAACCTTGTTACCTTGTGTTATGACCTGTTGCGAAAATATTCCTTGTGTTATCAAATGAATTTAAGAGATTTTTTTTATTTGAGATTAAAGTCGGTATTTTGAAGTTTTTTCTAATACAGAACATTTCCTTTTGGTCAGAACACATGAAGACCTAATGTTTTACTGTACATGACAGTCCCAGATTTCACCCAAAACAAAAATGTCAACCTCATGGTGACCTCTGACATGATGAAGAGTGAGATGTTTGTCAAAGTGATTTGGATGCATCCTCTGGTTGCTCTCAATATCTCTGCCAAACGTCATGGCGATATTTGCAACTTTTGTTGAGCTACTTAAATCTGGACCAAAGTGGTTGATTATTAAAGAAACATCTGCTGATACTTTTGTGACTGCCAGGTGAAACCTCGTTGACTGAGCGCTTCCCGGTCCGTTCAGCGGGTGTATTTGAGGTCATGTGCAACGTCTCTCTGGAGAGGGAGTTAATGTCGGAGGAACTAAAGGCTGAACTCAACCCTCTGGTCATCACTATTCTGTCCGCCACCTCAATGCCTTCATCCCCCGTCTCTTTCCACATCCTACAGGTGCCATTTCTTTCTGTTTTACCAGTGAATACACGGCTTGTATTGTGCATGCGTGTGTTTTATTATTTTATTTTAACATGGAGGTTTTATAAGACATCGTTTTTTGTTGTTTCCCCAGGATAAGTGTGTGCCTGTCTATTGCCAGTACAAGTTCCACAACGTGAACATGTACAGGACAGAGAATCACGAGCACGGCACAAAGATCTTCTTCAGAGACGTGAATGTGATCCTGACGGGCCTGATGAGACCTGAAGAGCTCAAAGAGTTCCTCTCTGGTCCGCCTCTAGAGATAGAAGTCCATGATCGTGACAGAAAGTTGGAAGAAACCCCAAGAACTCCAACAATGTTGTGCGCAAGGTCAGATGACGACATCGGAAAAGCGAAAAAGGCGGCCATAATGAACTCCTACGGTATTGCAAACTTGAACTTCTCAGAGCTGCTGCTTGGGAAGAAAAGTCTAAAGATGCAACTACAAATCAAAAGCTGCCCTCCAGGGAACAGGAAGATGCTAAACACAGCTGATCAGCAGCTGCCGATGCCACAAGGCCATTATGTTGAAGCCAATTCCCTCCTCAAAGTCGAAGTTGAGATAGCTTGTCCGCTTAACGTTAAGAACGACAGCTTTGAACCACAGTCTTGTGACGGTCCTCCGTTTGGGCGCATCGTCTATCTCTTTGATTACAACAACTTCTCTTTGATGACCAAGCTGAGGTCGGAAATCCTCCGAATCAACGCCTCAGCTTTCCATCTGGGCTCTCGCTCGCTGGAAACTGCACAGCAAGCCCTGTCGAATTACATAATGAATTTCAAGAACGACGAGAGCGAGGACCTGGATGCTGTTACGGGATTCCACGTGTCGGATCAGAGGGTGCAGATCTTTGTTCTCGAGGGGCTGAAACATAAAGCGGTGAAGAGACTCTGGGAGGCTGTTCCTATGAAGTAAGCACATGAACACTGTCTTGCCCCAGCTAACACGTTTCAGCTGTGCTGTCTGTTTGAGTACAGAGTTTAGATTCCAGCGAGAGTCCTGCAGCCTGTGTGTGATGTCTTGCAGGCTAAGTGGCAGTGAGGAGGATCAGGTGATAGTCCTCTACAACTCAAACCTGGGTTTCTTCAAGCGCATCTACGACTCGTTGGATGTGGGTCTGTGTCCTATCAGTCTGTGTAAGTCTCTAGAGAGCATCATGAGACAGCCCATGATCTACATTAGAGGAATGCTCCCCCAACCCTGCTTCCAAGCTCTGCTAAGGTTAGTGACGTTACCTTAAAGGGGACCTATTATGCAAAATTATTTTATACATAAAGATGTGTCCCCGGTGTGTCAGGGAACTCACGCAGCGTCAGAAAATAAAACCCTCTCTCTTTTCCTCCGTACCCACATCTCTAAAAACGGGGCTACAGCGGAGCTGATCCAGATTTGCGTAATATCTGAAATGTGGACCCACGGCCCTATCAGAAACGTTGCTATCGGTGTTTATATTAGCATCGCTAACACTCAGAGCTAACCTGTACTGGAGAGCATGTGTGTGAAGAAGCAGGAAGTAAAAAGGAACTCACCTTGTGGTATAACCGGCAAGAGAGAAAGCCTTTGAGCTCCATACTGTTTCAGA